AGAATTCAATAAAAGTTAGCTTATCTTACCCAGAGATAAAACCCATTGTAAAAGTGCAATCAGCAAATAAATAAGGCTAAGAAAATCCAGGAATTTCAAAGTGCTAACCAATGTAGGTTTACCAAGTAGTGACAAGGTAAGGGAAGGAGGTGGGAGTGGAGAGTAGATAAATTCATCAGGTCCCAGCAGTGCTACAAGGCAAGAACATTCAGGCATGCAGCAAGTTCAGATAGATCACTCCTTAAGTGGATCAGCAAGCTAGATAAAGCTCACCTTTCACTTTCAATGTGGTCTCTCTGGTCATTCATAGCCATACCCTGCAATCCTTTCCACCAAGCTCCCACATTTCTATATCTCCTGCCTCTTATGATCTTTCAGTTTCTCCTTTAAGCTACAAAACTACAATTCACAGTAGCTCTAGCTGCCAATACAGCGCTAGATAAAGAAATGAGGAAGTAGACTATAATGCGGACTATAATGCCACAATTTTGTGGACTATAATGAAGTCCTTCAGTAATAGACACCCATCATTTCTGCTTATCTCATTATTGCATACCAATAATTAATCCTGTACTGCTATACTTTGATCACCTCTACTGACTTCTGTTCTCCACTACTCTTCATCAAAAGGTGTGAAGAACTATACCTTGCTCACTCTTTCTACACGACCATCCCAAACCTCTCCAGTGACAATCTTTCATTTTCCATCTCACACTCCACATAGTTAAGTGTCCTTTTCTCCAAGACCTCTGTCATTCCCTTCCAAACCTCTAAGAACTACAAGCAGATGAAAGCTACCATGCCCTGTTCATCTCCAGACAATCAATTCTCACTAATCTAGGGATAAAAGTATAACATTCACATGCTACTTTTCTACTTTATGATTTTGCCCAGATATCTGGCACTGGTAGAGGACAAATTAATGTGATTTTGTGAGTTGAAGGTTGAGGGTTTTTTCTGAGAGACACAAAAACCTGTTTGTAGAGTGTATTGATTTGCTATTGTGAATTAGCTAAAATCTATATCTTCTTCTTGAAAAATTAAGGTAAAGTGGGCTCTGTGGCATGTGGGTCACTGATATTCAACAGTCGTCCATTAATTACCCGACACAGATAGAGTACTGTGATAGATGATGGAGATGCAAAGATAAATAAGATAACAGACCATGAACTCTTCGGAATTTATAATCTAAGCAGATAATAATGTGGAGCTATAGGTGAACATAAAATAAAATATGTCAAGGGCATAAAAGGACTAGAAGATGATATGTGCTAGGAAATGATATAGCAATTATATTTTATTTTTCTATAGACTTTATGGTTTACAAATACTTTCCTAAGAAAAATACTTTGAAATATCCTCATTTTGCATTTAAGGAGAGAGTAAAGTTTGGTGTTTGTTGTCGTTGTTGGCCAAAAATATAACATTTAAGTAAGAGGGAGTCATTTCTGACAGCAGATATGCATAACAAAGTCAAGATAGGCTAGATAGGTAGAGAACAATGACCTTGCCTTCTTAGCTGATCCTTTATTCTTGCTGAAATTTATTTGTGTACTAAGCCAGAGAGGAATTTAGGAATTTCTAACCTTTAGTTAATACTTCAACTGGGAGCCCTAGAAGACTTGATAGCTTAGAAGAAAAGATAATCTCAGCCTGCAGGCTATTTGGATTTTTGGTTCTTTCCTTTTTGTTAGCTGACTTCAGAGGCTAGGACTAAAATTTTCAGCTGACTGGTGCTGATATCAGCAAAACAATGCTTCGCTGAGAGCATGGGCTCAGCACTTATCAAGAGTCATCATGAGATCCACAGAGAGTAGTAGAGTGATGCTCCCAAAGGGAATGTCATACCCCAAAGAAGCCAGGTCCAATGAGAATGGAATATTAACACCAACAAAAGACATAGATGGTCATGCAGTGTCAGATAACATGAGTTGTTCCACACTTATGTCTTGGCCATAGCTGTTTCCTATGTGTGTGCACCTCATGAGTGATTCTTATTCATGTACACGCCCCCACTGATGGCGGTTATATATGTGGGAGTGTGTCTTGGATTTATGGAGAGAATGTTCTATTGAAATGTTTCTTATGCTATTTCATTAAATGCCTTTGCTTTGAACCAATTATCTTCTGACTAAAACTGCTATGGCATTCACTGGGAGTATCTTTGGAGTTTTCATGAAGGAGCAAGCATTAAAAAGGAGTGTAGAATTCAGAACCAGGTCTCTAGAGGTCATGTAGTCCAACTTCTTCCTTTACACATTAGGAAAATGAAACCCAGAGAGGTGAGGTGACTTACTCAAAGCCACATAGGAAGTAATTACAGGAGTCAGGTTTCAGACTTAGACTTTTTGATTCCAAATTCAATCTGATTCTGAATTCTATGATCCTTTTACTAAACAACACTGGCTTTGAACTGGGATGTATTCAATCAGTAGGGGGAATCAGTAGAAGAGGTTTTTCCTACAAAGGAGCAGGAAGGTGTGAGACATATTTAGAATGTAATGAGTAGCTCTTTTGGCTGCAGCATAAAAGGAGAAAAGATCGGGAAATGTTAGTCGGGGCCCAATTATAAAAGGCCTTGGAGGAAAAAAATGAATATTTATTTTATAGGAGAGGAATTATGTGGAATGTTTGAGCAGATGGAGAGACATGAAGGGTGCTAAGTGGTTTCTTTTGATAGTCCTAGTTACCTTACCATCTCTTAATTTGGGAATTGGTTAGGATGATATAAGAACCCTTTTAAAGGGCAGATATAGCCCCAGCAGTAACTGCATAACTTCTTTCACTATACCAAAAACTCATCTGTTTTTGGCTTAATTCCTGCAATGTGATGACGATGACAATGATGATGATGATGATAAAAGTGTAGAAAGGTTATGTCCCATAGCCCAACTCCAACTAATGCAACTAACAAGATGCTCTAAGCCCTGAGAACTTTGTTTGAATATATCAGGGTATTTATACCTCTTTGAGTTACAGGAAAAAAATTATCAAAAGAGTAAGATAAGTAGAAACAATTTCTAGGCACCCCTACTGAATCAATCAGTCAACCAATCCAAGGCATAAACTTAGTGGAAACAACCCTAGTTTATTAATTTAGGAAGGAGTGAAGCGTTTGAAGCCATAGGCTGAAATCAGATAATAGAATGTATTGGGATTCATTGAAAGAATTAGGCACACATTGAAAGAATTGGGTCCTAAGTAGAGGAAACTCAAGCAACACTAATACTCCTAGTGGTAAAAGGCCTTGCCAGGGTCTTCTAATTTCATCCTGTGCTCTTTCAACTGACCAACACTGCTTTCCATAGGCCTCTGATAAGCCCAAAATTTGAATGAGGCAGTTTCTTCAGTCTGCTAGCTAAAGGATCAAGGAATGGCTGGTGTACTCCATTCACAAAAATAAGACAGAGAACTGAAGATATTCATGATTTTTGATTCAGTTTTTTTTATAAACTATGGTTTGTATTTGAGCATGGCATAAGTAATACACCAAAGTGAACAGAGAAGTGGCATAGATACACACACTTACACTCCCTGGTTATTTGTGGTTAATACCACTGATGCGAGACATTCCAAATTATTAGTGAAATTTCAGCACATTTGTCTACCTAGGCCATAGCTGTTTTCACGGCTAGCTTGTCCCTTTAAGTTTGTTTCTGCTACAGGGTGGAGACAGATGAAGAACCATCTCTGGATCTGATAATAAGCAGCAAGCTCCCAACTCCCCAAGGAATGCCCCTGATGAGATCTTCTCCTTTCCTATACCAGGTAAATAGAAGGTCCAGGCCCCTCCCTAGACTACAGTAGACTAGAAATAAAGTTGTATGATATTGGGGGGGGGAAGCATTGCTTTTAGGGGGAAAGGACACCTAACACGTGCTTGATACATGACCCTAGAAAAATCACTTACCTTTTCTGGGCCTCAACTTCTTCATCTATAAAATAAAGATGATATAAATACTTACACTACTTACCTCCCAGGATTATTGTGAGGAAAGTTCTTTGTAAATTTTAAAAATGTGATTAAAATTCAAGTTGTTAATAACAATAAATCAATTTTTTTTCTTTTTCTTTTTCTTTTTTTGCTTAGGCAATTGGGGTTAAGTGATCTGCCCAGGGTCACTCAGCTAGTTAGTGTCAAGTGTCTAAGGTTGGATTTGAACTCAGGTCCTCCTGACTCCAAGGCCAGAGCTCTATCCACTGTGCCACCTAGCTGCCCCAATAAATGAGTTTCTTAAGGAAAGAAACATCAACTGGGGTGGCTGGTTTACATAAAATGTTACTGCAGTTGAAGACATGATGTAAAAATGTGTGTGTGTGAAGGTTGAAGATAAAACTTCATATGGAAAGAGGCCAAGGACTCTAGTTTCAGTTCTAATATTAGTGAAATGTTGGGGAACTTACTTTTCTTCTATAAGCCTCAATTTCTTTATCTGTTGAATGGGAATATTAAGATTTACACCCTCAAAGGGTAGTTGTGAAGAAAGTACTTTATGAAATGGAAATCACCATAAATATGAGCAATTGTTATTATAAAAACTGAATTATGGGCATTCCTTTTCTCAGTACTCCAGGTAGGACAAACAATCTCCTTATCATAGACTCTTCAGATAGAAGTAGTACTTTCCTGGTTAAAAAAAACACCCCCCCAAATTTAAGCTCATTCAGACTTAAATTCTTCTTATTGTGATTGAGGTGAACAAACTGATGCTCCCTCTGGCCCTCCACTGCTCCCCCACTTTAGGAAAAAAAGGTTTATACTCAGTTAACAGTTGATATTTTCAAGAAAAAAAAAAAAGGAAAACTGGAACCCGTTTGAGAATGTATGTTGAAGATGAAAATCATTATCAAATCAATAGCAAAAAGCCTTAGAAGTCATCTAGTCCAAACCTCCCATTTGAGATGGGACTTTCTCCTACAACACCCCTAATACTGCTGATTTGCCTTCAAAATATCCCGTGAGAGTTGTATTGAAAAAAAAATCGTGATATGCGTAGTAGTTATTTTTTCCCATTGCACCTTTATTTATTTTTTACTGTAGTTTGCTATCCAGCATTTTTACATAGACTTTCCATAACCATATTACATGTCCCTCCTCTTCTCATTCAGTCCTATTCCTTATCAGTCTTTATGAATACTGCTGCTGATTTGCATGCTATTCTTTCAACATTTATATTATTCCCTGGGTTTGGGTTGGAAGTTTGGGGTGAGGAGAGTCAGCCCTTGGTAAAATTGTGAAGTAGGTGAAGTTTGTCTTTTAAGCCTGTCACATCCCCTTTCTAGGCCTTTTCTTGGTAATGGAGGTTGGATTTTTTTTTATTATTGTTGCTGTTTTTTTTTTTGTTTTCATCTTTTTTGTTTGTTTGTTTTTTATCACCCAGGCACTTGTTAGGAGAAAAGTCACTAACATCTTAGTATGAATTAGTTGAAGACTGAATCATAGAATCTTAGAGTAAGGGATTGTTTAGTTCAATCCCTTCCATGTGTGAAAATTCCAAGGCATTTACATTTAAAAAAAATCTAGCCTAGGGAAAGAATCCAAAGGAAAAACTGTCTTCCATGGTAGAATAGCAGGCATGTCTCATGTGCTAGATGAGGTATTTTGGGGCAGGAGGACTTCTTTGCTCCCTGAAAATTTCACTATGTAAGTGATTGCCAATTTTGCTTACACAGAAGGTCAGTCTTAGGGGAGGGTGAGATGCTATTCTTAGGGAGGCATTGATATACTAGAAGAGATTGATCAACTGGTGTAAATATATCCAAATTCTGTCAGAGAACAAGCTTTTGGGGTGTGAAATCAGGCATTTTACAAGTGTATGTCAGGGCATTAGTGGGTACCATTTAATGCAATGGAGGAGTCATTTATGTAAATGGTCCCCTGAGTGAGTTAATATATGCCCCATGGTGTGTAGAGACCTCTCAGGGAGATTATTGGCAGGGTCTGGCTGACTACCTCCATTTAAAAATTTGCCTATTTCCTTTTGCCATTTTCTCTTGTATTTTCCTGGCACATCTGACTGACTTATCTCAGTGCATTTGCAATTTAAATCATGATATGATAAACTGATTGTTGCAATGACAGAATTGTAAATTATTAAGAATTGGAGTTTCTATGTGGGTACTCCCTCTTTTTTTTTTTTTTAAAAAGCTCAATTAAAGATAGGATTTTCAAATACTGTCATGTCTCTCCAACCAATCTTCAGTTTTGTCTCTGATTGACCCACCACACAGGCCTTGTTCATGCATAATCCTCAGTCAAGATAGCATGCATCTCAGATCTGTATGCCCATGATATTTTCATATTTCTGACAGTTCCACAAAAAACCTCACCATAGACTGTTTCATCTGAAGTCATGCACTAACCAAAGCTGAGGTTGATACTGTATAAAAGTGGTTTGGAACAGAAGAAGTAAAAGATATTAGAGAGGCAATAAATAGTCATAACTTCTAGAGGAAGGGACACTTATCATCAAGGGATCATTTCAGAAAACCAAATCAAGCTTTGGACATCCAAGGGGACCTCTCCAGATATTTGGTCCATGCTAAAAGAAAATAACATATTTATTAAAAATAGAGATTTGTAAACATCAGCATGAACTGATACATATGTCAGGCCAATGAAAAAAGAAAAATAAATTATTCCCCCCTCCTCTCAGTATCAAAGGCTGAGATACATGGCATTAATGGGATTGTTGATAAGTAATTGCTACAAATTTACCCCCACTATATGGGCTCCTCAGTTATGGGGCAAAGAAGCTCAAAAAGTTTGACCAGTGATGAAGACAATGTTGATTTTTGAGAGGACACAATCTGTGTCCACATAGTCCTATGTTGGATATGCTCTTCTCTTTTCTGCTGTGTTAAAGAACTGTTCTGCTTGACACCATTAATTCCATGAGCCTTCTGCTGTGGCCCATCCTCACACAGAAGGGGTTTTTTTTGATGCTGCTCAGACCAGTTTCACTGAATACATTGTGCTTTTGTTCTGCTATTTGCAGATTGGTGCATTCTGTTGATAACTTGTTTGAAGAGTTCAAAGGACCATCTGATCTTGCAGGATGTGGATAGCTACAGTGCTTAGGCTTCACTTAGCAGCCCATTTCTTTCTCTGTAGGAGTCTGTGGTGTCTCAGCAGAAAGATCCCTCCTGCTCTGCCCTTCACAAAGTTGTATAAATATATACAAAGATGATGACAATGAGGTTTAAGATAGTCCCAATAATTCCTAGCATGGCTAGGATACTTTCTTCTTTATTTTCCTTTTCTTGTCTGCCTCTATCTTCTTCATTACCACTAGTGATTACCATCTTGGTGGCCAATGTCTTTATCCTCCTCCTTAGGCTAACCTGGAATTATAAAGAAGCATCAAAGGATATTACAGATTTGCAAAGGTATTTACTTGGCTAAACATACCCCAAAATTATGGTCAGTTCATGCAAGTACTTTGGATAGGAAGGTGTGTAGAGTAGATGGGGGTAGTGGTGGAAGCTATGTGTGGGAGGAGAAAGTGAGGCAACTTGGGAGGGAAGACATAGCCAAATATTGGCCAATTTTGGGGACACACATTTCTTGACCGTACATTTAGGACAGAGAGACAGACACAGAGAGAGAGAGAGAGAGAGAGAGAGAGAGAGAGAGAGAGAACTGGTCCTATGACTTCATTCATAAAGAGAAGTCTCACTGAGAATGCAGATTAACTGCTCTGTAAGTTGAAGTCTTAGTTACCTGATTAAGTGAATTGTTCAGCTTTGGACTTGAGAACTGAAGCCATCTCCTTGATTCTGAGGTCAACCATCTATCCACTATACCATATACCACCTTTGATAACGATATATAATACTAAACTTAAAATAACAAACTCAGTAGTTTATTTTTAAAAATTACCTATAATTACTAATCAAACACTGGTTCTATTACTTCAGTGTTCATGTGATTTTGAACAAGTCACACGAGTTAAGAACCTCTTTTGGCTTCAATTCTGTCATCCATGAATGAGAAATGCTATAACACTGTGAGTCAGTTACTTCTCTAAAGTTGTTTTCTCAGGAGCTATGCACTTAAGAGGGATGTACAGTCCCTTCATTATGTGTCCCTGTAGAAGTTATATGTGCTGGGCTGTTCTTTAAAGTGTCCTGGCCACAGAAAATACTGAAAAATTGGGGCATTGGTGACTTTAGTCACAAGGTCATTGACAGGCTCAAACTGGAACTCTCCTCAAATTTTTTTGGGAATACCTGCACTAGAGGTAGTGGGACCATGGCAATAAGACTGTTTATATGATATATTACTCTTATAACTAAAGAAAAATATGAGGAGGGGCTTGTGTCTGAAAATATTTTCAATTTACTGTGATTCAACTGAATTTAGTCTTTTGAAAGTACTTATTCAGAATTATCTATATTGTGCTTTGATGGAGGGAGATCAGGTCACTGTTACTAAGAAATTTAAGAAGTATGAGTCATATCAACTTTCTAAGTAATTTCCTCAGAACCTAGACATTTACAAGGGTGTATAACTAATTCAGGCCACAACTTTGGGCATTTTGCACATTATTTTCAATGTGCCTGTGGAAGCAGGGTGAAGGGTAAGAGCTCTATCATAATCATTACCTAACAGATGCAAAATGTATTAAAAGGTCATAGAGATCATAGACTTCAAAAGCTAAGAAGGACCCTGGAATCATATCATAGAATTTTACAAGTCACAAAGGACCTTAAACATCATCTGACTTTACCCCAGCATTTTAAAGAGGAGTAAATGAAGCCCACAAAGGGAAAATGACTTGTCCAAGATTTCACAGAAAGTACAGTGGAAGAACTTGAGACTAAAACTCTAATGCCTTGCCTCCCAGGCCAGCATCCTTTCTTCTGCATTAGAGTGACATAAATAGACTCCAGTCTATTCTATTTAGTGTGCATCTCTAACTAAAGAAGTCTTATTTGTTAGGATGAAGACATCACTCTTCATACATGTTTATTTTTCTGCAGTTATTGCTGCATTCTTTCTGCCTAAATACCAGCCACATCAGAGTTCTATATCACCCAGCTATTTTTTCCTATACATTGCTCAAAACTTCCCCTTGAATTCCTGAATCCTTGAGCTTAATCCTTTCCCTTCTGTCTCTGTTGTCTTTCCTGTCAATCAGGTTGATTGATAGAACTAAATCTAGAAGGAACCTTAGTGGTCATATAATCCAACTCCTCTCTAATTTTTAGGTGAGAAATGACCAGTTTTATGAAGAATAATAGATTCCAAAGGTTGACCTTTTGGTCAGCATTCAAAACACTAAGCAAATTCCACAATGAATATTTAATCAATTAATAAATATTTATTAAGCTCCTACTATGTGCTAGGCATTGTGCTAAGTGCTAGACATACAAAAAAGGCAAAACCATTCCTGCCCTTAAGAAACTAACAATCTGGGCAGCTACATGGGATAGTGGATAGAGCACTGGTCCTGGAGTCATTAGGACCTGGGTTCAAATCTGACCTCAGACACTTACTAGCTGTGTGACCCTGGGCAAGTTGCTTAAGTCTGATTACCTAAAAAAAAAGGTACTAACAATCTAATGAGAGAGACAATATGCAAATTAATATATACAAAACAAGCTATATACAGGTTAAATAGAAAGTAATTAACAGAGAAAAGGCACTAGAATTAAGAGGGGGTTAGGGAAGACTTCCAGTAAAAGAAGACATTTTAGTTGGAACTTAAAGGAATCTAGGAAAGTCAGTAGGCACTGTGGAGGAAGGAGACCATCCTAATCACGGGTGATAGCCAGAAAAAAATGTCAGAGATTATAATGAAAAAGTGAAGGCCTTTAGCAATACCTATGTGTTTTCAAAATTGCTCCGAAAGGGTCAGAACGATGGACTCTTTTGCATTATTCCTGTTGAGACAAGTGACTTCATTCCAAGTACATATTATCTTGGTCATGTTATTGTTTTTTTATTAAAATACTCTAAAGCTTTGCAAGTAAAAACAGGAAATTTGGAATAAATGTTTTTCAACTCCATTTGAGTCTTACTCTGATGCCATATTGCAGTGTGGAGGTGACTCTGAGATTTGGAAGGCTATGTCAGCAAGGCTTAAGAAGTTTCTACCACACAGCAAAGCTTCAAGTACAGTTCCTGTAATAGTATCTGATGTCTGAGGGGCAGCCTAGCTGAGTCTAGAGAGCCTCAGTACCAGGAGGCCAACTTCTAAGTGATAAATTCGCAAAATCCTACAAAACAAGTAAAAATATAAGATGGCTTTTAGACCTCTGTAAGGACATCAGTAGCCTACTTTACCACTAAAGGAAGAAGCCAGATAAAGCCAAATCCCCTGATTGAGGCTTGAAGCAATGGCCTAAAGTCCCTTTTCCCTTATGGTGGTGAGGGTTTTTTTTTTTGTTTGTTTATGTGTTTTTGGCTAGGCAATGGGGTTAAGTGACTTGCCCAGGGTCACACAGCTAGTAAGTGTCAAGTGTCTGAGTCTGGATTTGAACTCAGGTCCTCCTGACTCCAGGGCCACTACTCTATCTACTGCACCACCTAGCTGCCCCAGTAAGTTTTAATATCAACTGTCCCAGCATAAATCAGCAATAGTCCCTGTATTTTTACCTTCTCAACAGATTCAGGATCCCCACTGCTTTCTCTTAATGCCTGGTCCTACTTGACCCACATAAGAACCCTATCAAATTCTAGCAAGTTCTATTCTACCAGGGATCCCAGGGGACCTGACTTGTTTCATCCCCCCGATTGCTTCTTATACTGTGAATAGTTTCCCCTCAACAAGTTATTTTCTTTCTAGGCCTGTATTCAATTGTGGTGTACTCCACCCTCCCCATAGGTCGGCTTTCTCATTTAGAAGCATCTGCTGCTGTCCAGGGCTGAAACTAATGTTCTTGAAAACCTTCTCTATTTCCAAAGCCCAGGCAGGCCTGGGAACTCTGCTCCAACAGTAGGATCTACCCCCTTCTTCCTGCCATCAAAGTTGTGACTGGGGGCCAGCCTATAACCACTTACCCCAAGGGCTCTTCCCCTGGCAATATAAGGTGCAATTAATGGAAATTGCTGATGCTTTTTTTTTAATGTACCTTGAAATCCCTGATCTCTCTTAAGCTACATTAAAAATCCCTTTCCCTCATGAAGGGACATGGTAGCATGGTAAAAATGGTAGCACGGAAGCTAATAATCACAGTTCATAATCCATCTGTAGATATCAACTTACATGGTGATACCCTTGATGTGAGATTATTAGTCCAAAGACTAACAAGGGATGTACTACTTGAAAACCTAAATCATACTAATATTGACATAAGCATGAAACTAGAAGATGTAAGGAAGTTGTTGCTAAATGGAAAGATGGCAGATGGGTTCTCCTTGGAGAGATAAACAATGTAGTTGGTTTTATTGTTCATCAAAAGCCACCAATCCTTTACAACAGAGGGTATTTTAATATCGAATCTATAGGCCCCCAAGGATCTGTGGATAGAGTCCAAAAGGTCTGTGGATTTAGATGGGGAAAACATTACATTTTTATTTTCACTGACTTCAACTGAAATATGAAATTTAGCATTTCCTTCAAATATTTATTCTGAGATGGAGTCCTTAGGCTTCACCAGATTGCCCAAGGGTTCCATGCCATAAAAAGTTAAGAATTTCTGTTTTAAAATCTATTTCAAATTCTGCTTTCTTGATTCCCCAATTTGGTAACAACCTTTAGTCTGGATCTCAAATAATACTTCATTTTGTAATTCTTAAATTCACTTATTGTGTTGCATATCTATAACTATATTTACCGTTATCTTCTCACCCTAATAGTATATAAACCCCTTGAGGTCAGAAACCTTACCTTATCTAAACTATGTATAATAAATAGTACTATGCTCTAGAGGTAATAAGAACTTGAGAAGTATTTATTATTTTGTCTGGCAATTTACAAGATGTAGCAATACCCTGTGCAGAGGTAAATTAAACAAAATGAGTGGCTTCATTATGTTTTGATGAGGCTTATAGTCTTCCTAGCCAAATTTATTTGTAGTTACTATTTAAGTTACTAAATCCTTTTAAAACCATTTTGTTAATGCAAACTGATTTTTTGAGAATTAGCATTGTTTTCTGTTCAAGAACAAATAACATTCCCTACTTGATTTATATTATGTATTGGACATCTCTTTTTAAAATTTCCTCTCTTTTCAGGACCCCCATAGATTTTTGAGCCATAACTATTACTATATTTAGCAGCTTTCTGTGGGACTGCAGAGATGAGGACTATATGTCAATGATTGTGAGAATGGGGAGACCAATACCTTGAGGAGAGGTCAAACTTTTCCAAATTTGAACCTGAGTAAACTACAAT